CATTCCACGAGGAGTAATGGTAGTTCGGACTAGGAAGCCTAGTCCGAACTACCTAGTTCATGCCGTGTGTAGCCGCGCGGCACAGGGTTCGAACGAGCGGGGATTTAAAAATGGCGGAGCCCCGCTTATGCAAATGAAGCCCGGGAAATTCAAATCCCGGGCTTCATTTGCAAGTGCATATGCCTACATTACCCTCCTAGTTCGAACTAGGAGGGTAGTGTAGACATACCCTCAGGGAGAGAAAGAAAAGATGACAAAAACATCTTGATGTGGATGTACCGAGCTATTGCTGACCCAATGTGACAGAATCTTTCCCAACTACTGAATGTGCATTATGGTTGCATTTGTCACATGGTAACGGAGAACGCTCCTTCTCTCTTCTAATACGGATCAAAAATGTTCTCCGATCCGCCATAACTCAAGAGGTACATCTACACTGCACCGTTATTTTGAATTAACTAGAGTAATTTAGAAATAACAGTGCGAGCATCTATAACATGGCCATTCCATTATTTCAAAATAATTTCAGAATAGCAGACAGCTTATTCTGAAATCTCGAACTCTCATTCTACGAGGAATAACGCCTATTCTGAATTAGCTATTTCAAAATAAGGCATGTGTAGCCCCTCCCCAGTGTTTGCTGGGCCTCTAAATCAAGACAGCACGTCTACATTAGGGGAGCCGGCCTTGAACTCATTTTGAAGCTTTCTTGCAGTGTAGACATTCTATTTCAAAATAAGCGTGATGTGTGGACATAAGCAAGAACACCTCCGTCCTTTGTCCCTTTTGAGGATTGAGAAGGAAAGTGTCAGGTCTTTGAATTGCAATGACATAATTCATGAGGCGGGAGCCGCCGAAGCTGGAAAATCAAAATTATTTGTTTGAAGAATTAAGTTGAAATAAATATGTTAATTTATGTAAATACAATGACTTCATAATTTCTCGGCAATATTAATTCATACTTAGGCCCTTCTCTCCAATATTCCCCTCAGAATCTTAATCCAGCCCAGGCTCTAATTTGACTCCCAGATGTAAGCTGAAGGCAGGGAAACTGAGTCAGGGAGAAATGAAAGTGACTTCCCTTCAGTACTCAGGGGCTTGGGAATAGAACCCAGGACTACTGTGAGACTGCAGCTGCCTGGCTGCTTTGTGCAGGCTGGGCTAGGGAGCTGGGCCCATTTATAGGGGACTGATCTCTGCTTTCACTTGCAAGGGGGCTGAGCTATGGGCCATTGGCAGATGTGAGGACACCCAGCTGTGGGCAGTGTGGTTTAAAGTAAAAGGTTCGGAAATGTAGCTAGTCCCAGGAAGGCGCAGAAACAGGCAAACTATTACTAAATATCTTTTAAACTTTTATTAAAGGGCTTCTACGTATAAATTATGATTTTATCAATTTCTTACATACGTAGGCACTAAATAATTATTAGAATGTCCAATAAGCAAAATGCAATACAGTAAAGAAAATTCCTTGAGGTTTTTCTAAATCCCAATAGTTGTTAACAAGGGACCAGGGATTATTAACAGTTACATTTACATCAGTGTTACTTATAAGACTAATCATTTATCTAAAACTTAACACTACTACTTAACAATACCTCTAAACAATTTCAGATAACAATACTTACATTTAACAGACACACAAACTACAACAACAACATATTTGGTATTCGTTATGTTTGGTATACGTTACGCTCTACAGGAACTCGTTTGGTTCGGTGAGCGGGAGGTGGCCCTCGGGTGATCAGTCCTCGGACCTGGCTCATATTCCGCCATCCAATGGTTATTCGGGATTCCTCAATTTGATACAGGAGGGGAAGCTGTTTTATAGAGAGAGCTTTTGCGCACTTTTTGTGATAGGCTAGCAGACCTTGTCTGTTAAGTGACAGGAGTAAGGGGGTGAGATGGTTTCCTGTTTTTCCTTTTCTGCCTTGTCGGGCATGGCACGGTCAGCACAACCAGCATGAACTTTACATGAACTTTTCAGGTCTGGTTTTGGTTCCTGTTCGTCACTGATCTTTAAGTTACATAGTGTAAGGGTTTTCATCAAGGGGAAGTTGACCTCTTGCTTGGATGGCAATACGCGCGAGAGGCCTGGCCAGCAAAGAGCCTGCTTCCACAGGCAGGACGCCACCTTAGCCATTCACTGCTAAGTGGGAGAGCTCCAGGAGGAGGTGGCTAGGTTGAGGAGCACCCGAATCCACGAGCAATTCCTGCACCGTGTTCATGAGGAGACAGCTGAGGTTCCCTCTGCAGACTCAGTGTCCCTGCATCCGTGACATCTGGAGCCCAGTTTTGGGGTTCACCCAGTAACTGGGATCGTCATGAAGCAAGTGCATTCCCGTGAGCCAGCCGAGCCCAGGGCCTCGCTGAGCCCAGCCCTGCACACACGCAGGCTGCACCAAGGGGCTGACCCTGCAACCTGAGTGGGGGAGGCAGGACTGGGCTGGAACACACCCACAGCACCACGACCCCCCTTCCCCCGGTCCATCGGGCCACGGCCACACCCAGATTCCATCTGGCATTCTAAGCCAGGGATGGGAGATAATTTCTGATGGGCCCCATTTCAGAAATTGGTTGGGGGGGGGAGCGTGTGAAGTCTTTGCTCCTTCCCCCAAGCCAGCCGCCAGCTGATCTGAACTGCTGGCGGGAGCACGATTTTCCCCCCCCCCCCCCCCCCCGCCAAGTCAATGAGAGCTCAGGGAGGGGGGGGACATGCAAAGTGTCTCTCTGCCCCGCCGCCATCCAGCAAGGGAGCACTGCACTTAGAGTCACCCATCTGCTGAGCAGCAGCTGGTGGTTAACTCTAAGCGCCCCCCCACTTTGCGCGCGCCCCGACCTCTGTCCTAAGCCCTCTCCAGAGCCTTGGGCCAGTGGAGGGGGGGATCTGAGTGGGGGAAGGATACAGGCTCTGGACATTCTGGGCCCCACCACAATTTCTTGCAAACCTGCCACCCCTGCCTGCCATGGGGGCAGCCTTTGGGAGTCAGGCTAAAGGGAAGCTGAGTCACAGCCCTGCCAAGCCCCTGATGGCTGGCGGGAGGGAGAGTTGGGGCAGGGCTGTGCAGTGGGGAGCTCTGGCTAAAACTTCTGTCTTCTCCCCCTTCCCGCAGCTCTCTGGAGAATGTCCTGGAGTGACATCTTCTACCCGGACAACCCGCGGCGGCGGGAGCGGGTGGCGCGGTTGCACCAGGAGCTGGTCAACTGCATGGAGCTCAATTTTGATGCCACTAACGACCTGATTGGAGCCCTCAACACCCACTGTCAGTGCAAGCTGCACCCCATCCACATACAGGAGAAAGGCACCCTCCAGGACAACTGCAACGTGCTCCTGGCAGCCATAAAGGCCGTGCAGGGTGAGCTGCAGGACATTGACGAACAGCTGAAGAGAAAACTGGAGCCCCACCTCTACCGAAAGCTCCATGATTTCCAGGAGCCAGAAAGCAAGAAGATGCAGATTCTGCGCTCTGTGACCACCGTAGTTGCTAGGGATCTTCGTTAATCTGGCCTTGTCGGAGGTGGGAACCATCGTCCTGTCCGGACTTATGACAGTCGTGGTGAAGATCGGTGTCTCCGTGGGCGGCGCCGTAGCTGGCATCCTTCTGGGCGCGGGTGTCGACATGATTGTCAGCGCCATCCTGGGCGCTGTAGAAAGAAGCCAGCTAGAGGAGGCGATTGAGGAACTCGAGGGGATCGTGAAGGAGTTCAAGCCGGCCTCCAAGGAGTACAGCAAAACCATCATGAGGGTCATGCTCAGTCTGTCATGACTGGCCACACTGCACGTCACTGCTTCTGCAGCGAGGACCGCAGGGACCGGCTCCCACACTGGGCTGCCTTAGCACAGCCATGAAAGGCAGCACAATAAATGATTTCTGGCTCGTCTCGAGTGCTGAAGTGTCCTTTTCATCAGGCTTCATTCCTGCGTTTATGCTCCTGCCCTGTCTGGGGAGAGAATGGGACAAGCACCCTCATTCTACACAGGGGGAAACTGAGGCCCAGAAATTCCCAGGGATTTAAGCACTTCCATTGGGGCCAGGTGCTCTGCAGACTCAGATATCGCTGAGTTCAAGGGCAGCTCGCTGCCTAACGTGACTTGCCCCAGCCCGGTACAAGAAGTCTCTAGCATAGCAGAGAATTGCCTGAGCTTCCCACATCACAGACTAGTGCCCAAACCAGCACTGGCCCCGTCTTTCCCTCCAGCTGGTCTCTTTCATCTGCTGATCTCAAAGCACCTCAGAAAGATCAGCGTCAATGCCACTCATTGTACACTGGGGGAAACTGAGTCACAGAAAGAGACTCGGCAACAGGCCGGGAGCAGCTCCTGGACTGAGACCATGAAAATTCAGTGAGACGTTTCCCCGCCAAAGTCGGCAGGTCCCCTCCAAACGTTCTGATTTTGACAAAACGACCGTTTCCAATGAGAAACTCTTTTCTCAGATGCTTCCCAGCCAGTTCTGTGCCCGAGCTAGGCCAGGGAACCTGCCTTGGGATTTTCTCCTCCGGCCCAGATCTGAGAGAAGAGCTAGAGGAGAACTCCAAGGCACAGGCAATGTCCAGCCATTGCTAGGGTGCAGGTGTTTCGGTCCAAGGCCTCTTACCTCAAAGGAGACCAGGACTGCTGGGGGGAGGGGGGGCAGTCGTCCCAGGGCCCAGCGATTCTAAAAGGCTCCCAGCTGCTGCCTCCACTGTGGGGTGCCTGTTCAGAATCACCGCTGGAGCACCCACTGCAACAGTGGAGGTAGTGCCGGCTTCCCACCGGGTGGACGGAAGTCCTGCAGCTTCACGCCACTTCTGGGGGGTTGCACTGTGGCCCGCCAAGAACTTGGTGCATGCGGGGCGGGGGGGGGGGGGGGAGTCCCAGGAAGAGGTGCGCGCCGGGGCTTCCCTCTTCTGCGGGACAGGGGAGTCCCCGGAGGAGGCAGGTGCAGGGGATTCCCTATACCCTGCCCCGTCTGGCACCCTGTCTCCACCCCAGTACCCTGTCCCTTGCCCCAGCACTCACTAGCACCCTTTCCCAGTACCATTTCCTCTGCTCCCATCAGTGCAGTTGGGGCCACATTAGTGAGGCTTGGAGAGGGTGGAGGAGAGTTTTTTGCTTCTCACTTGTGTGGCCCCAACTGATTTTTCTGTGGGACAGTGACCCCTGACTCAAAACAGGTTCCCCACCCTGCTCATAAATAACGACAATGCAGAAACTTTTTGTATTTGACATAGTCTTTTATTTAAAAGTGAAGCCTGGCCAACAAACCCCCAATTGGGGCCAAGCCCCCATTTGGCCACAGCATCATAACACTCCTGCACCACCACCCCCAGACACTAGTTCTGAGCCTATCATACACTGGAATCCCCTGCACTAAGCCCCTGACATATCCCAACCCAAATTCCTGTACCCTCACATCCACAAGCCTGTGGCTTACTTATTACCTCCACCCTCCATCTGACCCCAACACTCTGCAGCCGTGGCCCCTACACTGAGACACCTCACTCCTCTGGTGCTCCAGCCCCATGGCGGTAGGGGGAGGGACTGGGAGGACTGAGTTTCAGGGTGTGAATTTTGGGGACCCCCCTAGGTTCTGGGGTGGGGGACAAAATTGAAGGGTTCAGTGGGATAGGGATGGGGGTGCAGGATTGGGCAGGCGGTGCAGGTGGGGATGAGGGTGTGAGGTCTGGATGGAATACAGGGTACAGGAGTAGGCTAGGAATAGGATGGCTGGCCAGAGGAGGGGGCAATAGCAAGGGAAGGTGCAGTGTGTGGCCAGGAGGGAGGATGCAGGAACAAGGGTGTGGGTAGAGAGTCTGGTCAGGGGGTAGGTGTCTGGCCAGGGGGAGGGTGCAGGAGCAGGCTGGGGATAGGGTATCTGGCCAGGAGGGAGGGTTCAGGAGTGGGCTGGGTGTGTGTGTTTTTGATGGGGGGAGTGCATGACAGGAGTGGAGGTGCAAGGTCTGGATACAACGGAAAGGGGTAGCAAAACGCGCCTACATTGGCCACGGATGCTTTTCTGGAAAAAGTGCTTTTCCGGAAAAGCATCCTGCCAATGTAGACGCGCTTTTTCTGGAAATACTTATAACGGAAAACTGTTCCGTTTTAAGCATTTCCGGAAAAGGGTCCCAGTGTAGACGTAGCCCAGGAGTTTTTCCAGGATTCCAGAGATATCCCAGAAAAACTCTTCCACGTCCAGGGACACGTTTGTTCTTCCACGTTTTTTAGTGGAAGAGCAGCCATGTTCTTTCGAGAAATAAAGGGGCTTCCTAAAAACGGGGTTTTCTGACATTTGGTCCAGTCTAAACAGGCCAAATGTTGGAAAATCCTCTTCCTACAGAAGAATCGGGAAAAAAGCAGCAGTGCAGAGTGTATAAGGGCTGGGGATAGCAAGTGATGGAGAGGAGGAGAATAGAGAAGGCGGGGCTTCAAGGAAGGGGTGGGGTTTGGGGGAAGGGTGGGGCAGTAGATCTTGGCTTGTTCTGACATTTAAAAAGTGATCTTGGGTGTAAAAAGATTGGAGACCACTGTTCTAAAGGAATAGACAACGGTGAGGCCTCCGTCCAGCTGGCCCCTATCTACACGTCATGATGCCTTGGGAACCTTCAGGAATAAACTTCTTCCCGTAATAATCTGGATCTAGCACCAAACCAATTATACATAACACACATCCAATGGACGACATTGGAATTAACCCCCCTTTACTTCATCGCTCCCAGACGCAGGGTTTTACAGACTAACAATGAATAAAACCCATTCACAAAGCACACAGACATAAAGGGGACTGCATCAACATGGCATTTACCAGCCCCCATTTACCCCACACCCACGTGGGCCCTCCTCTGGAGTCAGAGCCTCACACACTGGCTGGCCTGGGCGCTTGCAGGCCTGGGGTGGAGTGGAGCCAGCACCTTTTCCCCAGGCTCTTCCCAGCCACAGACATCCCCACCAGCCCCTGGAGCAACCTGCGAGATCCAAGCCCCAGCAGGCTCCAGCTTCCAGCAGCAGCCCCTGGCCTGCAAAAGGTTCCACATCAGGCTCCTCTCTCCAAATGGAAGCCCCCCAGCTCTCCCTGCACTGCCTGGAAGACCTCAATAGTCTCGCTCCTTTTTCCCAAGGCATCCTGGGAGTTGTAGTCTCTAGGGTAGATTGCAGCACCAAGGATCTTCCCAGGAGAAGTCAGAGGCTCCGATACCAAAGGGGGCCTACGACAGATTCTGGCAAAAGTGTCTCATCCAACCGCCTGGCCCAGCCCAGCTCAGACTGGGGTCCCTGGTGCTGCTCACCACTGGCTGCAACCCACAGAGCGGGGGCAAAGGGCTCTCTCATCTCCTCAGGGCGGCTGCTCCCTTGGCAGGCGCAGGGCAGGGAGGCCCGGCTCTTAGCTCTCCGTGGCCCAAGCAGCAGACATGGCCCCTCACAACAGTGAAGGGCTGAAAAGGGAAACTCTTCCTGCCCTGACCCCGTCAGCCCCTGAGGCAGCTGCCTCCAGTCCTCGAGGGTCCCCGGGGAGCTGCAGAGCCGGTCCCGCCCAGCGTGCAGAGAAACTGCTTCTGAGAGCCCTAAGGGGACGCTGGGCCCAGGGGCCTGAAACCGACTCGCGCTGCTGCTCTGGGAGAGCTGGGTGTTTCTCTGCTCTGACCATTAGACACGACTCCCCTCTCAATGGGATCCAGGAGTCCTGGCTGCCAAGCGCTACTGCTCTAACCACTAGACCCCACTCCATTTTCAGAGCTGGGGATGGAACCCAGAAGTACTGCACCCATCCCCACCCCGTCGCTCTAACCTTAGACCCCGCTCCCCTCCCAGAGCTTGCAATGGAACTGAGGGGACCTGGCTCGCCCCTGGTGCTTCTCTCCCTGCACTGTCCAGTTCAGGACTGAAGGGAAACTGGTACCTCTATGCGTGGCAGGGGGAAGGACGTGGAGAGGTGCTGAGGGGAGCAGCTGCAGGCGCTGGCAGCCTGGGTTCATGATCGAAAGGGAGAGCTTGGCGCCCTGCCAGTCTCTGGGTATGTCTACACTACAAAGTTAATTCGAACAAACGGACGTTAGTTCGAATTAACTTTCATAGGCGCTACACTAGCGCTCCGCTAGTTCGAACTTAATTCGAACTAGCGGAGCGAGAATCATAGAACTCTTCATAGAACCATAGAGCTGGAAGAGACCTCAGAGGGTCATTGAGTCCAGCCCCCTGCCCAAGGCAGGACCAACCCAACTCCATCATTTCAGCCACGGCTTTGTCCAGCCAGGGATTAAACACCTCTTGGAATGGAGGTTCCACCCCTCCCTAGGGAACCCATCCCAGTGCTTCCCACCCTCCTGGCTTTTCCACATATCCAACCTAGACCTCTGCCACTGCCACTTGAGACCATTGGACCATTGCTCCTTGTCCTGTCATCTGTCACCACTGGAAACAGCCTCTCTCCATCCTCTTGGAACCCCTCTTGAGGGAGTAGGAGGCTGCTACCAAGTCCCCCTCTCCCCCCATTCTTCTAAACAAGCCCAAATCCCTCAGCTTCT